GTTTGAAATTTTTTGGTCATACATGAGTAGGGAGTAATTCCCGGGCTAGTAATTTTCGCGCTAAAATTTCCATGCGCTCGTACATGGACCCCGGCGCTTCTAAACACCTGATTTTGCTGTACATGAGTGGAGAGCATTGCCACAGAGTTTCAGCTTTCCACTTTTTCCCGTCCCTGGGTTAATAATTTTCGCGCCAAAACTTTCACGTTCCCGTACGTGAGCTTCGGACGGCCCCAAGAAGCTAATTTTGAAAATTTTTGGTCGTGCGTGAGTATGGAACATTCCTCCAAAGTTTCAACCTTCTAGCTTTCCTCATTCTCGAGTTATGAATTCTCCCGCCATACTTTTCACGTACCCTTACGTAAGTTCCGGGCAGTCCTGCGCAGCTGAATTTGAAATCTTTTTGTCATACACGAGTAGGGAACATTCCCCTGTGGTTTCAGCTTTCTAGCTTTTCTCGTTCCCGAGTTAGCAATTTTCTCGCCAAAACTTTCACTTTCTCGTTCGCGGGGCCCAGACGTGCGTGAGAGCTGATACCGCGGTTCTAGGGTGGCACTTGGCTGGGGGACGTACTGGCAAAATTTCAGCTTCAGAGTTTGCGTGGTTGGCGAATTGAAATACCCGGACAGACGAACACACACACAAACATACACACGCACACACTGACAGGGTCGTTGCAATATGCGTTTTTCTTGCAGCGCTCTAGCGCTGCACGGCAAAAACGCATAAAATTGAGGGGCCCTGTTCCTGTCCCGCACTCCGTCTGGTATATGTTTCAACACGTCTTTGCAGCCTTCATTTGCTTGATCGATTGCATATTTATTTAAAGGTTGTTTTTTTCAGGGTTAACATTCTTTGTGATAATTTTTGGCACAAGTAGCACCCAGTCCTTGTTAATCTGAAGTGTAATAACAACTGTGGAAATTCTACTAACCGTTTTTGGTTCCCATTTCACTACTCGGTTTATGTTGCATAAAAGCTTTGGCCAAAATTTAGGAGTTGAACTTACGTTCTAACGTGTTTATTGCACATACTTACTTTAATGTCATCATCAAAAGATTATTTCTGGACACCAAAACTTCACTTGCTTCGTGTGTGCAACAAAGCCCGGTCAAAGCTAATAGATACGTCTTTGCCATCCTACTGCCTTTCTGAGTTTTCAGTTTCTTTCGAGAAATATTCCCCCACTGAATGTTTTGGAAGCAGTCCACTGTACCCGTATGCGACGTTGAATCGGCATTTCGCGTTTGTAGCCCTCAAATTTCTGGACTATTATTAATTAAGGGTGCTAAGAAGAGATGTACTGGAAAGCGTAGCGGCGCAGAATTCCCTAAATTTGGGTATACATGGGTGACAGGGACTACCTGGCTGGGTAAAAAAGGAACGAAAAAAAAGGATTAGGATAATACTTGCATGAATTCGTCTTGATAGTATCCTGAGGTTTCCAGGAATACCTAGCCAAGTAAAAAAAAAAGAAAACGAAAAAAAAAGTTAAGGAAGTACTTGCATGAACTCATCTTAAATTATTGAATGCATTTATTGTAATTACACTTGCCCTACACGAAAGTCACATTTGCACCGTACTAACAAGTAGCGATGTTTCGCGAAACTGCTACGCGCTGCACCTCGCTAAAAACCCTCATTCTTCTGCGCAAGGATGGTGCTGCCTGTCAGTGCGCCCTATGCCCGTCAGCATGAGAAGGTACAAAATAATTGACAATATGCGTTTTTGCTGTGCAGCGCTGCTGTAGCGCTGCTACAGCCAGCAAAAACGCATATTGTCAAAAAGGAGTCTGTGTGTTCGGGAAGCGAGTGCATTTTGTCACCCACTTTCATCTCTGCAACCAGGAAAGCCGGGAGGCTGAAACTTCGGATGTGTTCCTATCCCGTTTGTCATCCTCCCGTTTTAAGATCTTTCCCCATACGCATCTAGACCCCACATACGGAACTCCCAAAGAAATATGTTGGCGGGAAATGATTTCGCGAATCAGGCACGTAGAAAGCTGGAACTTTACAGCGATATTTTCTATGCACGTGCGAGCTAAAGATTTTAACTCAGCTGTCGAGCACCCCAACGACAGCCTTAAGCAGCTTCTCAACCCAAAAATCGTTAGCAACTCGGATTCGAACCGCAGTCATATATGTAAATGAACATTAGTTAATTTGCATGCATGGTTTTTTTGACAAACGACTGCTCAAGCAGTATTTCCACTTTTTAGTAAACTGAAAATTTGCATTTTTTCAAAAAATTTGCATTTATCATTTTTCCACAAAGGGAGCATTTGCCCAAAAAACGACCGGACTTCATGCAAAAAACCGGTAATCATACAACTGGATGTCCGTGCGGCTCTATAATGCACCACCTTCATCCCGACTGGTGCCCTTCCTCCTGCATGCCGGTAAGGATCAAAACACGGCCAATATTAGCCCAAGTGTTAAGTTGCAGCGTAGGGGTCATTCCTGCTAATAGCGATCAGCGAGTTTAGTGCAAAAACGCATGATCGCACCGGCAATCCTTGCGTCCCACCCTGGGTTGCATTACATACGTACAAAAACTTATAATGACATGAAATTGCACGGAGTATTTCGTCCCTTTACATTTTGTCCATGGTTCGAAGTGTTTTAGCCTGTTGTGCTGATTCATTCCGAAGCCAGTTTCACGTCACCTCGGTTCTGCGCTGCAAATTATTGCTCTTTTCACCATGACTTTTGCTGAGTCATCGAAATCTTTCGACTTTTTTTGCTAAACATTTTTGACTTCATAGGCAAATTCAGGGCATTTTCAATTTTTTTGTTGTCAATTTTTCCTCTCTTTCCTCCCTCTGGTCGTCGGTACATCGCAAACTCAACTATCCTCCTTTCCTCTTTCCCCACTTCCCCCCTCCGGCTTGTCGCTACATCAGAGACCTCACTACCCCCTTCCGGTCGTCACTGTGATGGGAGCTCCGCTAGCCTTTCCCCCCTCTCGCTAGTCGACCCTATTCTGCGACGATGATCGGACGGAAACGGGAAAAAAAAAGATTTCGAAGGGGGTGGGCGGAGGGGGTAGGGAGGCGACAGAGGGACTCGAACAGAGTTTTCTACAGTAAAACAACTGCTACCTGAGTCCTTACGGGAGGTGGGGGAGGGGGGGGGGGGGGG